AAGAGTCAACACAGTCTCGTTTCACTCCTAGTTTATGTGAGACATTTTTAAATCTTTCTTCAAATATTCAAGTTTACTATCTTTCGAAAATTCTATTGAAATTGAATATTTTATTTATTTACAATTACGAAATAGTAGAGAAAATTTAGATTTTAATTACTGTCTGGGTATTTTTCCATACCATTTTAGCTATTTAACAATAAAATCCACGATCGCGACTAGGAAGGGAATTCCAAACTATTTAATAAATTAAAAATTAAATTGAAAATTTTAGAATAACGGAATGTGATCATACTTCAAAGGGCCAATATCTTTGGCTCGATAAAATATTTCAAAATTAGAGTACCACCTATTGAGTAAGAAATGCCAGCTTTTCTACTTTCATATTTTACCTCAAATAATATGAAACGTCTCACAAATACTTCTAAAATTTTACAATATTAATATGCAAATATTTTTATAAAACATTTCCAAGAAGTTCGTAATGTTGATAATTACACTATGAAATATAAAGCATACAATGTATTATTTCGATAAATATTCAATTTTCTTCCTTTTTCACGTTGTTAAATGAAAATTATATAACAATGTCAGTGTTAAAATACTTATAGCTCATTTTATCCTCTACTATTTTTATTTATAAGTATTTATCAAGTTTTAAAATCCTTTATACGTCTCTTATTTATTCTTTTTTCCTACAATGCCAATATAAATACGGAAATATAATTTATGAAGTTATGCACCCTTTCAATGTACAAAATGTATGTTTAGTATATAAAGTTTCGTCCAGCTTATTTACATAAGCTCGCTATATATATATATATATATATATATATATATATATTTTTTTTTTATTCTGTATGCTTATTCAGTTTTCCAGAGTTTCTCTCTTTTTACATTAAATGAGAAAAAATATTCAATTTCATAATGCAACTTACAGATTGTAGCACAAAGATGAACTGTACAATTACATTTTTCATTGTCTGTCAAGTTGTAATTTTTTTTTCTTCTCTCCCCATAATACACGACCAATTATTTTACCTACTTTTGTGAAAATTAGACGTATCGCACGATTATTAGCTTTTCAATACATTAATCACCAAAATCTGTAATACTTCGGTATAAAATATGTAATAATAATAATAATTTAGGCTAATTTTATTAACTATTTAAAGATTTTCTTATACGATTCAAATGTAAAAGGACTGTATAGGAGTAGAGAAAAAATGAAATTCACCTGTGCTTTCGGATCCTGGCACATCGGGACAAGCCTGATACCTGAACAACAATCGGCTCTCGTCCGTGCAAGTGTCTACGTTGCTCTGTGGACTCGAGCACCTACCGTGGCCTCGATTATACGTGAATGTCATGGGTCCATGGAAGGGACAAGGAACCGAGGTCGCTTCCTCGCGGAACATGGAGAACAGCAACGCATCCCCGGTTATGTAAGAGCACAATGACGATAAGCTATCTCGCCTTTGACAATAAGCTGGAATGAAATTTTTATAGATATTATTATGGAAATTTATATTCCAGAGCGGTGTTACTCTATAAGTAGTTTATTTACATTCATTGACGTTCAATATCCAACATTCCTCCTCCTACTCCCCCCCCCTTCCCGCTCTCATTATGTACTGCAAGTTAATATTTTTTTTTTTTTTTATGGACGGGATACAGAATATGATGCCATTAAAATAAGCTTCTTTTCGATTGATTATACATTAGATCCGACAGTATAAGCAATCCAAATTCATCTGATAATACAAGAAGCTTATTTCTATAATAATATAATTAGAATAGTATTTTAAAATGCCGTACGTAAGCAAGAGCAGTTGGAATTCGAACCTGAATCTTCATTCGAATATTACGACCATAAAGGGCGCTCAGCATTTATTCTTATAATCAATTCAATTTAACATTATTCTAATGTATAATCAATAAATTGAACCGACGCATTTTTAATTTCATTCTTTATAATGACTTTTATATAGTGTTTCATAAACTATTGCGAAACGGGCAATAGAAATACGCTTTCGCGAACATTAATAAAGCCATTATTTTGTACGATATAAGAGGCGTATTCGTAGACAGCATAAAAATGAAAATAAATCTTTTAAACATAAATCAGAGCTACACCGCAAACCCAATAATACTCATGTATATTCATAGAAATATTTTCATCAAATAGTTAAAAATTATTAAAAGCGTCGTACGAAAATTGCAATAATGTTTTATCCATAATAAAAGTCATAAATCACTTCAAGAGAAAATGAGAGCAAAGAGAGGATTTTAATCATTTAAGAAACTCGATACTTTGCATCGTTAATCACGCGTGAATCATCGTTTCTAGAATGAACGAAACCAGCTCTACTCTCCCTTCACCCCCACCCCCAGCCCCACCGCCACCCACCAGCTACCACCAATTCTTTAAGTCCATCACTTTCTTGGAACTTTTTTTTCAAAATTCTTCAAACTCATTTGCCTAATGAATACATTGTGGTAAACTATCCGTTTATTCTAGCATTATCTTGCTATCTCCAATCATTTATCACCTCCGTGCCGGAATTGTTATTTTCAAGCGAATGTCGAAAGTTTTATTTAGTGACATTTATACGTTAACGTATATTATTTATCATATAATAATTCAAGTTTTTTGATGTGAATAAAAGTTAAATTTTTCGTATTTCTTAGGCACGTGCTTTCGTTATATTCACGCAAATGTAATATTCAAAACATCCGACATTTTTATTAAAATTTCAGTGTCAGCACTGCTTTTGCAATAGTTATAAAAATTATATTATTTTCCAGAAAATAGACATACCATAAATATAGCTGAAATGCATTATATAGAAACGATAGAATTTCATCTTGTGCTTAATTAACAGTGACACATATTTATGTTCATTATGTTTTAAGACTTTCTAACTACGTACGTTGAGATCTTTATTTATTATAAATGGTAACAATAAATAAAGCGTAAGATAAATTGTTAAATTGATTACAAAAGTTGCCTCTTGTACTTTAACGATTGAATAAATTTGCCTCAATATATATATATATATATATATATATATATATATATATATATATATATAGGATATTATTAATTATTCAAGCTGCTTTTATAAATATTCATGTTTTTTCAGCTTATAGGAGTGAATTCATTCTTATCTTACGTACTTCTTTCTTATTCACTCGAATTGTAATCATTGTAATGATAATTTATTATAATAGAAAATATTTTAAATATGTCCACTAGTACTTATTTGTCATTTAATATTTCAAATGTTTAAACAGGATATATCGATAATAACATAAATAACAAATTTCTTACAATAAATTAATTCTAATGACTAACAGCAATTTTTTATTTTAATTTTAAATAATAATAATGAAATATATTCTTATTTCACCCGTTAGTTACTTCTCCGTATTTTTTCTTTATTTCAATCTCATTCTACAAATAATTCTAAAAAATGTATTACGATTTCAAGAAAATTTTTAATGCTTTTTTTTAACATTATATTTTATTTTATTTTATTTTTTCTTCTAAATATGAATATAATACTTTTATTTTCAGAAAAATATTGCATAAAATATAAAAGTTAATTAATTATATATTATTATATTATATTTATATTTCTCGTTTCCATTCTCGTACTCCTTACGTTTATCAAAAAGTCTCGATTTCTGGTCAAACGTGAAATTCAACGATCATCGATTATTAATTCCCGAAAAGTGCAATGTTATGTTCTTGAAATCCGCAGCTTCTCCATTTACCTTCGCTCTCTTTCCTCCCAAATATCTAACAGGCAATGTAATGGAGCAGCTATCCTGCGGTTACGCTCGTCTTGCACATCCTGTCAACATTCATGTTTGCAGATAGGAGGGCGTGCGTATGTATGCGCGCTAGATGACGTTGGCTAGATTAAAAGCCGGTAAAAAAGAAAATTAAAAGAAACGGGTCGGAAGACATTGACAAATCATCGAAAAATGTATGGTTTACGATATAGAGGCGAATAACAGACTTGGACGTTCTTGTTCCGCTCTTCACTACTCATCGACTTGCTGCTTATTGCTACATTGACCTCCTTGATTTATTTTGCATCTAAGAGAAATTACTTGTACTCTATATAGACTAGAAAAACTAACATAAAGAGTGCTATTTGATTTTTATGATCAAAAATATAAATATCGGCTGTTACAATTGACGTGGAATAATTGGCTTGAATTTAGATGAAGTTGACATTATCGAGTTGTTTATATTGATATAAAGTTTACTTATCAACAACTAAAAAGCAAATTTGCTGATAAGTCTATGATGACATATAATAGGTATAATATAGGAATACATTTCTCAAAGTTACTTTATTTCTAACATCTTTTACTTTTTACTATCATTTGTCAGATACGATATGTTTCTTATTCTCTATTTATCTTTATACGCTCTGAGATTTACTTACAAGATAAATATTTTTACTTTTCACGCCTGTAAATGTAAATACTAATATGTTCACAAAACTGTGCAACAGCTACATAACGCGCAAAGGGAAATTTTTAGAAAACTCACGGAATTACGTATGTTTTTTTCGAATATAGCGTAAGCAAGCAAATAATTTAAGTAAACGAATAACTTAAATATGGTATTTTAACGATGATTTATTATAATCCATCAATATACATCTGTCTCTTCAATAGCTTTAACGCAAGTTATTCAAATATTATGTGCATTATGGTTGTAATGATGTAAGCAAAAAAAAAAAAAAAAATCAATATTGATCAATATAGATAATCAATGACAAATTTATATTTATTGCGCAACGTTATAAATACTTAATAATATATTTAATAATATTCCTTTAACAGAGTAGTTAAAACCTTATAGCCATATTCTTTTAATAGAAAAAAAAAATTTTTTTCTTGCACAGCCACAGCCACTAAAAAATATTTACTATAGTGTTCTCAACAAAGTAGCATACGACCAGAGAGAAACGTCAATTTTTTTTTATTTTTTATTTTTTATTTTTTTTTTTTAAATACCCATTAAAATTTTAGTTATGCTTGGACCTTAATTGAAAACTTCCCTTCGCTCTTGCCTTTAACATCCCTCATTCTCATCTCCCTCTGGCGAACTCAGGGCGCTCCTACGATTTACGACTAGCGAGGAAGGCTTTTATGTGTGCGAGCTTGCATCCAATTTTCCTCCATCTCATTAGCTGACAATGTACCGAGTGATTCTGACGAATTCGCAGTCCGCGTACACGAGGCTTCATCTTTCTATTGGCCGAAAGGTTTAGCAGAATGAACGAGACCTTTGGGCTATTCGATTGTTGCGCGCATTGTGTCGGCGGTCGTAGGTGGGGTTTACTAGGCGTGGCGAGCGGTTTTCCGCTCCCATGAGGGACCGAGCTAAGGAGATGTTATGCCGTAGTGCGGATACTGAATTATTCGCAAACGGTTGAGACAAGCATTTCACCGATATCTCGGGGATTAACGAGAGTTTAGTCTATTTGTCTAACGACGTAGTATATGCACCGGTGAAACTCGATTATTTGCTTCTATCATAGTTTCAAGCTTTACGTGACAAAAGTCCGTTTCATACAGAGTCATTACTGATCAAAACTGACTTTTTTTTTTTTAAGTGGTCAGTAATTTTTAATGACATAACTTTTACGAATAGAATAAGTATCAGTACGATATACGAAGTTGTCAAAGAGGAAAATTTGTATTAAAATTTTGTCTTGTAAGATTCATCAACAACCGAATCAAGCTCGGTTCAAGCTATATCGTTGACCAACAATTCTTGTAGACACCTAATAAGTACAGTAAAATTGGACTTTTTTACATGCAATGAGAAAAATGTCTCAAATAATAATTATATAATAATGAAAAAGTTTAAAATTGAATTCATAAAATAGAACGAAATTACTAAATTTTACAAAAAAAAAGAAAAGACTTTCATTTAGTATCCTATAACTCGCAAAAATAAAAGCAAAGCGAGAGAGACAGTGTGGGAGGGGTGGGGGAGGAGTAGGAGGAGGACGGGGGTAGGAGTAGGAGGAGGAGGGGGGAGTGGGGACTACAAGAGAATGATCGCTGGAGGCAATTGCGACAAGGAAGAATTACCACAATATAATCAAAGAAATGACGTTTAAATATCGATTCAAATGAAATTATAGAAATCTTTATATCCTTATTTCCTTCAAAAAATTGTAATAGGAGTAAACTATAATAGCAATTCAATTATTTATTGTTTACTTGATCAGTAACTTCATAATTTATTTGATTCATAAAATGGTATTCCCAGAAAATAAGGAATTTATTTTGTACATTTATTTACCGATGTTAACTTAATTCACATATTTTCAAATAAAATGTATTGATAGCTTAAGGAGAATTAAATTCAAAATTTTTGTCAATAAAAACACTAATTAATTTTGTTGAAAATTCAGTCTAGTTACTATAAACATGTATTATCATTCCTTTAGCTAACTTTTTAACATACCAAATGGTAATTTGAATTGCGATTATTCTTACTATCCCTTTCACAGATAATCGCCAATATGACGATAATTTATTATTATTGTTCACAATTTCGAATAAAATTCTAATATAAATACAATTAATAGTCATTAAATTTATAATATTAGAATGTAATTATCTTATAAAAACGTCACATCACTTATTTTAGCGTTAAAATGAATATTGATTCTGAATCAAATTGAGTTATAATAGAGCAATTACATTGCTTTATGTTTTAAGTATTGATTTAATTTAGATAAAAAAATAATAAAATAATAGTTATCAACCGTAAATTTAAAATTCATCATATTGTAAAGTGATAAACTATAGTTTTAACAATATGACGATTATCGTGATTTAGTTTGAACGCGCCGAGTTTATTTTATTCAAAAAAAAAAAAAAAAAACAAGAAGAAATTCTTGATTTATATTTTGTGATTATAAAATTATTGAAAATTATTGAAAATTATTGCAAATTATTGTAAATTAATTAGGATGTGTAACAATAAAAACTTATTTTTATATTTGAATTAAAAGGCCAAAAGTGCATAATTATTATTATTATTGATAATCGACATCAAGTAGTAATTTAATATTTGTATTAAAATATCGACTAAATATACATTATCCATGTAAATATAAACATTTACAACTGATGAATATTTATCTTAATAAAATAATGAATACATTTAGGTATTTTGCACGATACATGATTAATATAAACGTCTTTGTAAAATGGCATTCAAAAAGTATAAAGAAGCAGCATTACAAAGGCAATTTATTTTTTATATATTTATCGAATAATAATAATATTTAATTTTCAAGATTTTTATAATTGAAATTCTACAAACAAGAATTATGAATAATTTGGCAATTCGGAGAGTAGAATAATTATTTATAAGTTTAAATTAGCGGCTTATCTAACAATTACTTATAATCAAAGCTTATTAAAAGAACAAAAGAAAACATTAGAAAATTATTTTTCAAACGAGATGAAACATTTTCTCCATTTAATAATTTATTAATTAATTTAAATACTAATTGAGCTATTGGGAAATTACAAGGAATTCTCACTAAAATGCACCTAAAATATCAATAATAAATATCCGTATGGATCAAAAGACTTTTCATAATTTATAAACACAGTTGTTTGTTATTAAAATATCAGAACTAAAGAAATGAGCAATTAATAGTTTGATATGTTCGATGCTACAAAGCAATAATAGTTGTGGTATTCCAATAGGACATGCGCTGTAACACATTTGAGTTTGAACAACAAAATCAAAGCTCAATTTGCAGAGAGGACATCAAGGTACAAAAATTACAAAATTCAAAGTCATCGCGACCTATAAATTAAATGTTTAAATTAAAATTATGAATTTGGAGGAACGTGCGCCGCGAGGTGTACCGCGTGTATCGCGTGCCTGATAAATGGTCTTTCGCATACTAGGTTTATCGTTTTCTTCCTGAATCCATTAAACAATGGTAATGCATAACCATTTAAATTCCATTTCCGCGATGAATAAAAAGGAGTTCCCCAGTGTATGGGAGAGAGGAGAAGTGGCTCCGTGCGTTTTGCCCAATAGCGGAATATCGCGCTAGAGTTTGCAAAACAAAAGGGTAAAAATAATAGGAAGAAAGATGTGGAGAGAAGGGGAGGTTAACGTAACGTAAACTAACATTACGTTGAAAAGTTCATTTTAAAACACAATCAGTATAATAATGGTTTTATCTGTGCAAAATGGCTTTACAATACTTCGAAATGCTCTCTTAGGGTATTCTTTCTTTCTTTCCGCTTCCAGTCTTCCTCATTCTATATACTTCAATTATTACTGTTTATCTTTTGTTTTTTAATACTCTTCTATTTGTTTATGTGTTCTTCTTCGATAGCATGTTCAGCATACATTGCGATGTCTCCTAGCAGTTTTGAATTCTCTCTCTATTGGAACGTAGCTACTTACTCTCTCTCTCTCTCTCTCTCTCTCTCTCTCTCTCTCTCTCTCTCTCTATCTCTCTCTGTATGTGAGCGCGTGCGTGCGTGCGTGCATGCGTGCGTGCGTGTGTGTGTATGTATCTATGTATCCCCTTCTTTTAAAAAGTAAATAATTTTTTTATACTCGTACTACATAAGCAATTCTCCATTAAAAGTGATTCGTAATTATACTTAAGACATTTCCACTTTACTTGAAAAGGTAAACGTAATTATGATCATAAAATATGATACAAACTTTCGAATTTCGCAATATAAGAGTTACTTTCTTTATTCATTATAATATTATTTTTGTATTTCAAGTTATTATGATAGTAAATATTAATAAGATAATGGAATATTAATTTATATAGATCTAATATAATGTATCAGGTCATCTTAGTTTTATTTTCTGTCGATAATTAATTGAATTTTTCATATTCTTTCTTTCTCTGAATAGAAGAATATTTATTGTTACGTTTTATTCGTTAAATATACTTGATAAAATCGTTAATTATAATAGACTATAATAGAATATAATATATATATTACTTATAGGTGTGTAAATATTATAAATAGCTTTAATTTTCGTTTTAATCATTATATTAATACTGTAACATTTTAAATAATTAAGGTACGATTTAGAATGAAATAAAGTTTGTAAACTATCGGCATAAATACAGTTAAACATTATGAATTTTATTTCATTTCCTTGTGAGAATAAATGGACTTATATACGTATTTATTGAAAAATCATAAATAATCACGTCTGAAATTAAATTTAATATTGAAATGTAGAAAATTTATACGATTCAGATTGAATTTAATCGAAGTTTAATAGAAAATTAAGATTAATTATTTGTATAAATAATATTTTCTGTATAAAATATAAAAATTAATTAAGCTTATTATGCTATATCGACTTCTCAAACTTTTGACCTAATTTCATTTTATTATTTAATAACTTAATCCTATGCATTAGTCTGAGAATAATTAGAAATGAAATTCACGTGAATTTATGGAATAAAAATTTGATAATTCAATTAATTTTATCGTTCCAATAGAATATTTTTGTATCAATGAATAGAATTAATTCTATTGCTTACATTAGTTAATTCTTCACAAAATTCATCAATCTTTTAATTTGACTAAAGTAAGCGGAATACTCTTCTACGTCATAATATTAAATTCTGATTTATTAATATTCTAGAAAATTGCCCTTATTACAAAGTCAAAAACTTTTTACTGAATGATGTCTTGGTCAACGAGGTCGTTAACTTTGCTCGCTAAAATAATTACGCCCACATGCCGAAAACGAACAAGCATAGATGTTCGATCCGTCAAAAGCTTTCCCGCTTACGATGAGAGCTGAGCTTTTAATTAACGATCTGCTCCTAATTAAGGCAGTGGGCCAAAGTGAATAACTTCATGAATTTTCATTTTTAAAATGCATGCTAGTTCTTATAAAATTTAACTCAACCCATTCTGCACTTTTACCAATAATATATGGCCGAAATTTATTTTAGATACGTAAAGTCGACAATTCAAGTTCCATTATATCCTTTTTAATAAATAATATGCATAAATTTTAACGTGTATTAAATTTATATGGGAATGGTTGATACTCTGCGTTACTTACATTTAGCTTATATTATTCATCGAAATTAATTTTTATAATTTTAAAAAGATTCAAGCTCTATATTTAAATACCTTGATAGAATACCTTGTATTGTTATTATGAAGTAAAAAAAAAAAAATGAAAAAATATATAAATATAATGCAATTTAATTTATTCCTAGAATCAAATAAAGAATAATAAATCAGGTGAATAAAATCAGATAAATTTACTACACAGTTATATTACATTTGAATAAATACTGTTATATAATTAATTGTTGAGCATATAAATTATAAATTATAAGCTCCAAAGCATTCGAGTCCAAATTGACTAGTCAAATGTAAAAGTAATAGTTCTTTATAGTAATAATTATTATATTAAATTCAATAAGCGGAGACAATGATATTCTCAATGAGGTAATATTTTTATTTTTCCATTTACGGCAACATAATTAATATTTAAGCTAATAGTCAATAGTTAAATAGTTAAATTAAAAATGTAAAATGATAATAATTATTCAATTATTTTATTAAAAGTTAATAACAAAATTAATTGGGTCTACTTGAGCTTTAATTAAATATATTTTCCATAAAAGAATTTTTATATTTCCATTTTCACAACTTTTTTTTTTTTTTTTTTTGTATCAATTTTCCACATTTTATGAGAAAAATGAATTTAAAAAGTGTGAAAATTTAAAAAAACAATTTTTAATGTTTAATTAAATATTTCAATAGTTTCGACAAGCATATGAAATATTATAAAATAATTTTAATAGAATAACTATATAGTGATAGATTTTTTAGATAGATTAGATAGAGATTTTTTAGATAGATTAGTTGTACTTACTTTCTTTGTACTGCAGGACGTTCGAGTGTTTCTCGTGAATGACAACACAGCGATAGCAAGATTTCCTTAAACATAAGGAAAAAGAAAAGAAATTTTAAAAACAGCTCAGCATTTTTGCGCGATTTATGATGATTTTTAAGGGTTTTCAGATCGTGTGAATCGCAAATTATGCTACTAGTTGATGCTTTAAATAGAATGACACTAATATAAAAAAATAAAGCCCTAAAGAAGTATTTTAATAGTATATTGTATATTTAGATTATTTTAAGGAATTCATAGTAAGTAGAAATAAAGTTTCTCCTTAAACGATACGAATTACAATATCAACAGTTTTTATTGATTATTTTTATAAATGTAATTCTTCTCTTATGAAATTGTTGTAATTAATGTAGCTGGACGATTCTCTTAAATGGCAATTTATATTTTCTATATTTTACATATCCATTGTAGCATTAATAATATTTAGCTCATTTCATGCAAAAGTTCACAAAGCACAAAAGAAAATAATTGAAATAACAATTGTAATGTAATTGGTGCTTTATTGACATTATATTACACTACTATCTTATAAATTCATTTGTTTTTTACATATTTGTACTTCTATTGAATTAGTCGAAAATGAAATACCGAATTTACATACATACTTATGCCAATGTAAATGTATAATCCGTAGTTTGTTATACACGCGAGTCGTAAACGAATATACGTTTAACACCGGATAAACACACTTCTCTGAGCAATAGTATCTGCAACAGCATTATATTGACTTTGTTGAACATTTTGCGATCTATTTCCCTTCTCTCGTTCTCTCATTCTCTCTCATTCTTTGTGTTTTTGCCTCTTCACGACTACACCTCTTCTATAAATTACGTATACATTGAAAACGAGGACCCTCAACGAATAATGAAATTCGCCGGTTATGCGTGTACGTGTATGTATATGTACAAAACAGAGTGGGAAGGAGTGAGATGGATAGAGACGTGGATTACAATAAGCTGTTTGTGACTGCAATATTTTCGGTCGTTCTTGCAATCAAGAAATAATTATTCACATTAACGTACACCGAGTTTGGAATTCAAATGAAATTACAAGCATTTTATTTCAAGTTATGTATGTCGAAAATATGATATCTGAGGTAAAATGTGAATCAACTTTAGTTTATCTTATTGCACAGTACTTTCATAAATATAGAATATTGTATTTTGTTGTTGGTATTTATTTAATTACTTTGAATTTTGACAAACGTAAATGTATATAATGTAACGTAAATTAATACAATATAACCTATATTAATACATATTAAAAAATTTACATTTGTATGAGTTATATTAAAGTTTTGTATAAAGAAGAGTCTTTCATAATTATGACAATCTCATTTGTTAACTACAATGTCGTATCATCAGATTTATATTTAATAAATAAATGCTTGCATTGACAGATCCATTACAATTCATCTTGTATATCCATATTCTATAGAAATATAATTTTTTTTACAAATGCAATATTAATTATTAATAAAGAAAGGTCAAGTATTAATCGAAAACTACAAAATTATAAATATAAATAAGTGAATACACGAGTATTCATAATTCTTGATTTTTTTCGTATTTATGAGAGATATATATTTATATTGAATTTAAATATATATATATATATATATATATATTTATTTATTTATTTGTCCTTAATTTTAGCTTTAACTTTTGAAAATAAGTTTTAGAAAATATTTTTTAATAATTTATCCAAATTAAATAGAAATATTAAAATAGTTCAAATTTTACATAAGTTAAACATGATGCGTTTGAATTTATATCATTTGCCTATAATTTCAGTTAAATGCCATAGATATTTGTGATCCTTGAAAGAGAAGTAATATTGAAAATATTTTAAAATAAAGAGCTACAGAAGATTCTTGAGTTTTCTAAGTAGAATGAATCAGCGTCTGGTCAGTCGCTGGGAAATATACATATAGCAACAATAAACACGTACGGCACATATAGAATTCAAGTTATTTTCATGTATACTTATAGCGTATGTTAAAATACTAATTATTGAAATATTTTTCATTATTTTTTTACGGACTTCAATTCTTCACATTTTGCTCATTATCTTTCTTATCACTTTCCTAATGATGATAACGTGTGAAAATGGAAGGAGCAACCTGAATACAAGGAACCACTAAATACATTTTTCTTTCGTGTAAAAGCAGCAACAAAATGGAACAGGAAACCCACAAAGTTAAAGGAAGAACATCGAACGTGCTTGCATTGAGGCAGAGGAAATAATTAGTATTTCCTCGCGTCGTTGCGTTACCGATCAATCCTGTCTGGATAGCTGCAGCTGCTTCTACTTGGATTCCTTTTTTTTTTTTTTTCATCATCATTCAATCGGACTTTATTTTTTTATCCATTCTGGAAGATTTTTGTTTAATGGATTGTTTCTCTTAATCGTAATAATGTTTATTGGTATATCTATTTATGGAATTCAGACAGCTGTTACCACAATATCACTCGTGACCATAGTGATTAAACATGTAATTGTATGATAAATTAGAAATAATTGTTGGCCATCTTCTATTCAAGTAAAAAATTAATATTTATTTTTATAATTATTTAATAAAGAATTTAATAAACTGCATTATCTCTATATTATAGATAATGAATATTTAAAATGATACGATTATTAGCAGAAATATTAACATCTTTTAAAAAAGGCTTATTGAAATATCAGAATACAAATATGTAAATATTGAAATTTATATACTTTCTCATATATTTACAATAATTGTTAGTTAAATTTAGAAATATTATATATTTGGAATAGACTTAAATTTATTCTCTGATTTTTTGTGAAATAGGGAAAATGATATGTCGATGAAAAACCCTCTCGATATGAAGCATAGATCTTTTCACTTCTTTTAAAAATAGTTTTTAGGTGACACTTGAATAGTTAATATCTCTATGAGTAAAAAATTGGGAATCATAATTTTTTATCACTTTTTTTCAATTAATTAATCGACTTTAATAATTGTTAATAAAAAAAATGTATGACTTTTTACAAAAATTTTGAATGGTAATAATAAAATGGAAATTATTTATCAAGAAATTATTTTTCGCATAAATTATTTTATCTAAGTCTAACTTATATTTTATCTCATTATGTAAAAGAGAAATTTTTTTTTTTTTTGTTCAATATCTTCGACAAATATAATTCATTTAGTAAATTAAATATTAATACGATACTACGAATAAACGATTATTCGTTTATTGATTTTAAAAGCCTTTTGCAATAAAACACTTGAGATGTAAATTATGTAGTGATTGAACAATAACATTCATGATGTAATTAAAAAGCCTTTGTCTATCTCTTAATAAAGTAAATATTGTAAATTTTTGTAAAAATTAATAACCTAACGATTCTGGCATTGCTGTATTGAAATATAATTTTATACTTATTAAGTGTTTTTGGAGCGAAAGGAATATTTAATTGTCATCTATTTTTAAAGCGACACAACTTAAATTATTCGTTCGAATTACATTAGAAGAATTTATTAAACAAAGATTTTATTAGTGATTTTGTAAGTGCATTAAAACTTTTCCGGACTATTTTATTCCATTTTCCAAAATATATTTAAATAATCATATCGCTCAGACATGAAAAAGAGAGCGATTAAATTTTTAATCCATCACAAAATAATTTCTTCCATTAATAATAGGTGACTAAATAAAAACATTGATGAAGTTATTTTCAGAATTTAGGAGTGCTCATTGATATCAACGGAAGAGCTATTTTGAATCCGAAAGTTAATTTTTACTTCCAGCTTACTGCGGGCACTATATGGATTATTTGAAGTAATCCTATTTACTGATAAATATTTGAAGAAAAAACGATTGGAAACTTTACTTACTCGTCTACTAGAAGAAACTTATCGCCCTCATTGTGGAGGCAGTTTCCCTTGCTGGAGAGGATGTTTTTCGATATGACTATCGATTGGCGAACTCCACTTTGAAACCATGTGCCTTCCCATCGAGATGGAAATGTGCATTCTAAAAGATAAGGACATTTTCAGTATAAGTTTAAATACATAGACAAAATTGACATTAAAAATATATAATTTAATTCATGATGAAGTAGAATTTCAACTATCAACCCTATTTTATTCCTACGTTCATAATAAGATTTATTTTATGCAAATATTCATTTAAAAGTTGATAAATGATGAAAATATAGCATTTGTCTCTACGACGTTCACTAATTGAAATATTATATAGTAGCTTGATTATAATGTGGCATTAACAAAGGCCTATAATTATAAATAAAATGATTATAAATACTTTTCCCTCGGTACGTCAATAATGAATATATTTCGTGTATATTCGGTAGAAGGCTTCGGAAGCAAAAATATATGAAAATCACTAATTGTTAGCTTTATTTCTGAATGATTCATAAAATAACTAACATGAAAGTAAAAATATAGAAATATCTAATATATAATAAATAACGAATAAACAAAATAATATTAACTATTTATAAGTTCGTGCCAGAACAACGTGAAGAATATAGTATAAGAAATTTTTAAGAAATTATAAGACATTTCACCTTCTATAACATATTCATTGCGTTATAAATGTACTTTACAATAATTTTTACATTACCGCATGTTAATGTATTTAATCAAGGGTGTTTTCATACATAATATGCATTGAGATTTTGAAATTAAAATAGAAGAAATAAAATCATAAATTGGCATAAATATAATTTTTCGTAATTGTGAAGATGCATTCTTTGAATACCAGATGGGCTTTCTGGAGCACGTGATTTTCATTATTTAACGGGAAAATTTAGTAAAATATTTTATAACTTTATAATATTCTTTCAAACTATTATTTGTTGTTGTCGTAAATTTGAACTATTTTTAAAATAATTATAAAGAAGCTTAATCGTTAAAATAACTTAATTTAATGTAAATTAAAAATTCCTCCGTTATTTATTGCGTACAGTAATGAATTGTATAATTGTATAAAATTTTGATGGAAAGTGAATTTTTAATGTAGAACAATAAAGTAAATATACAGCAATATAAAATGATAATATAAAGTTAACATTACAGAAATACTGATTCGAAATTCTTGTGCAATAAAATTCTTTACGAAGTTTAACGAAGTCAAAATAAGCAATACACTAACAGTCAGATTCTAAAATCGAACTGCAATGAAGAAAATAGAGAGAGGGGGATGTGGGGGGGGGGGGGGGGGGGGGGGGAAGAAAGGCACGGCACCTCCATGTTTCAGCCATATAAAAATATACGTCATGTGGACTGGCAGCGAAGAGAGGCGAAAAAACTTTCAATCGCACTGCACGTGTGAGCTAACGGCTCGGCCATGCTCAGCATGGGCGAGAGAAATACCGGGATACAAAGAGATAGAGAGAGGGAGAGTGAGGGAGAGGGTGCGGGAATTTCGATATGTAAATGGAAACTCGAGTATATTTTTCGGAAGCCCTTATCATCATTCCCACCTCACGTCATAACTCCTTGGTGGTGGCATGTGGACGGCCTTATTTCGTCGCGTGCCTCTACCTATGGTTCTTCCCTCGATCAATATTTACGTCGATAGATCGTCCGAGGAGTGAGCGAGAATGATTCCGAACGTCCGGAGGACCTGAGGGTACTTGACCTATGTAGTCGGGAACGAATAGTAGCTCCGTGGATCACAACGCTTTCTCCCTCAACCTCTTTACTTGCCTAATCTATCTACATAGATTTCCCGTCTGCTTTTAAAAGTTATAAATTTTATTTTTGTACCGCAGCGTGAAATTAAGTGAGATTAAACTAATGCTTTTAGCAGTCGGTTAAGTAATAAATTTTTCACTATGGACACGTGATCATCAAAGTTTTGATACATTCCCTCTATTTCTAACCTATTATGCAATACGCTATTATAAAATTATTAAAAAATAAAGGATAACTATGGACTAAATGCGTTACATTTTAATGAATTTATAATATTTTTATTTCTTATTTGACTACCATCTATTATTCTTATTACTATTGTTTTTTTTTTTTTTTTTTTTTTAATTATTTTTGATAATATTTTTCGTTCGATATTTATTTCTTATATTATCCATTCTTACATATATAGAGATAATGGACGTTTTATACACGTGCACGCGCAACCCGCGCACACGCATAAAGATATATGGGAGGCAAGACTTTTTTCACTGAAAAGGGAATCGATGATAGCCGCTTGAATGAAAAAGAGGGTGATAAGCGGCCGATTAGTTCACTTTTAAAATGAAATCAATATGAGAGTCCTTTTCGCGAGTTCGCACCCAATAAGTATGCATTTTTTTTTTTTTTTTTTTCATCGCTATGAAATTCCGACTATTTTCACGTTAACTATAGTTTCGCTCAATATTGTATACGCGTTGAATATATGTTTAATACATATATATATATATATATATATATATTCAGTCTTAATATTTGCTCATATTTTTGTCATCTAGAGTGTTACGCGATGAAGTTTCGATCTAATGGAATTATCGAGGAAAAGGCGAGAATTAAAATTCGACTTTGAATTGCAAAATATGCTAAATAATTTTCTATAATAGATGTAAATTCCCACAAACATTTTATATCTATGCATGTTTCGATTAGCTTACAAATTCAATATTATTTATCAATTATTTGGCAAAAAAATAAATTTTCATATATTGAATATTGAATTAAATGAGAAACTTCGTACGATATAGAATTGATGGTGTCACATCGGTTATTGCTATCTTTGTCTCAATGCATAACATTTTTTTATGTAGATCAACATAATTTATATAATAAAAATATAAATAAAATGTATACCAATAGTAAGAAACTATAAAGTATAAGTAAAGAAATCTTTATATATTTATTAATTAAAAAATGTTATTATTTATTGATCCACAATTACAGTCGAGGTGATTTTTTTCTTAAAATTTATCACGACAAAACAATTAAGTGGATTTTGTATGTAATTTGAACAAATATGCGCTAAATTGGTATTAATTATTCAGAGGAAATTAAGATAAAGGAAGCTAAATTATTCATTTCTCATCAACATTTTATTCTGGATATTGAAACATTAAGGATAAAACAGGTCGGAAATAAATAGCATTTCGTTATCACAGCTAATCATATATAATTGCTCCGAATGTTCTTTAATTTTTAAGAAATACTTTTGCATTTCTTAAATTATAGCATATGAAGAATATTCCACTAGCAAGTCCGTAGTCATAAAATGTCACATTCGAAATATACTGTCAGCAGCATTAGTGTAATATCATTAATAATCTAAACATTAAATTTTAATTTACTTCTTCGGGATAATATTCTTACATTCATACATAATATACACTAACCAATTTCAATAACTTTGTTACGAACAACTCAATGTCTTAATTTAATTTATTTTTTAATATTACCGTAGGAAATATTAATTACTTAAATGCTGAATACGTTACGAGATTTTAATAAACCTCTTAAGAATTCATATTGAAGTTATGCAATACTCCTGGTCTAAATTTTAAATCGATTGCAATAATTCAAGAAGAATTGGTCCTTATTATAAATTATTATAAATTTTATATATTAATTTATGAAAGATTTTAGCATGATAAAGTAGAATTATGACACTTGGATGTCATACGTAGCCAATGTTGTATATATTATTATGTTATTGTATTATTATTGTTTATGTAAACATGAAAGTGTTTAGGTTATATCGTAATGACGTATATATTTCATAAATTTTGCATAACCTATTTTATAAATAGTTTACATAAATTAAAGATAGAATATGAGCGAGAAAAAGCAGAGAAAGGCATGAAAAGCGTCCAAAGTTCGCCACAATGTGACTTCGGTCGTTATCGTTGCGACTTTTATTACCGAATGAAGTCATTCGTTGCAGCTTGAACGACGAGGAGGGATTGCAAGAAAAAATGGCTCGGGTAATTAAATTCAGCCCGGAACAAACATGCGCATGTGCGCACTTTGGGGGGAAAAGTGAACGGTCTCGAACGCTCAACCCTCATCAGTTAAAAGAACACGTTCAATGATATTAGAAGAAGAAAATTCAGTTTTCTTTATAAAAATCACTTAATTTTCCATCTCTTTAATTTGCTTTAAGAAAATTAACTTTTTATTTTAAGATCTACTAAGGCCACATTTTGGGCATATAATTAATTATTATTAATAACTAAATTAACTATAATTAATTTTTATTATTAACTAAATTATTATTATTTCAATACTATTTATAAGCAAATATAATATTTTCCAACTTACTTTATGTCCGAAAAATGAATCTGCATTTTTCAATATCGTATAAATAGCAATAGGAATTCGTAAAATTTACATATTCAATTAGTTGCTTTTTATAAATAATGAGAAGGACAGAAAAGTAAAAACGTCTCGAGATATCCTTTAGATTCTTATATAGATTATATATATTATATTATCTTGTATAGATTCTTATGATTCTAGAGCCTGAATTTCAAGATTTTTCGTTATTCTAAAATATATCGTTTAATTTACTCCTCTTCGAGATCTCCTCCTCCCTCTTCTTTTCATTCCATTTTTTTCGCAAGCTACGAGGCATGATACTCCCCCCCCCCTCACCCTACCGCCGTCTTCATCGCCTCTGCCAACGTCACCGTCACAGTCACCGTCACCGCCACCGCCACCGCCACCGTCACCGCCACCGCCAACGCCACCGCCACCGCCACCGCCACCGTCACCACCACCGCCAGTGCCGCTGCTAACCTCTATCAGCAAATCGCGCGCAACCGACGCCGGCAACCCCTTAACGAGGCTACGATCCGCAAAGACCGTAATTCACCCTCAAAATGGTGCTCGCTGGGCGTCACGTGACGCCGAAATTTCTTGATTAAGACGGCACACGATTATTCGTCTCGACGACGAGAGCGGCGAGGCGGCGCGCGCCATTTTTCATCGCCGCGCGCTCTCGCAATAACGCGCCTCAGCCCCATTACCCCTTGGCACGTCTTCCCC